TCGATGTCACCAACTATCCCACGCGCAGCAGGAGGTAGGGCTTTACCCTTTCGAATAAGTAGGTGTCGGCGCTTGCAATTCATTTGGCGTAAATTCTCTTTATCCTCGGTTTTGGGGCGTCAGAATCGCCTACTTAAATATTGTCAATTGCTATTTCTTGTGTTGGCGTACCACTTTAAAAACAACTTTCATGTGCTGATACATATTCCGCGAACACCTCGCCGCCGTCATAATAATATGTCGGTGTGGATGCTACACGTAACTCGTATCTCATCATTCATCGATCTTTTTTTTGCCCACTTTTTTGTCTGTCGATCGGCCTGGTCTTGTAATTCACAATCTTCGCTCGTAATCTCGTCAGGATGATGGCTGGACTGCTGTGAACTGGATCAGTTCTTCTTCGTACCAGTTATCCTCAGTTTTTAGATCATTTTTTTCCTGTGTGTTGGTCAATCTCTAACTCGTTCACTCTCATCCCTGGTTCCGATTGCATCGGTCACCACTAAAGGATTCACGTTCTTCTCTTCTTCCGCAGGTGTGCCAATCTTCCCCGATTCGTAGTCCTCGCCAGTCGATCGGCCTGTTCCTAAACTCACCATCTTCAATTGCGATTGCGTCTGACTGATAGCTAGACCGTTTGTGAAACGGAACAGCTGCCCCATATCGGACCTCATCCGTCGCAATCACCTTCACGCATTCTATTGCTTCGCTAGGCTAATCTCGTCCTCGATTAACGTCCACGGTATCCTTAATTTTGTAGATCGCAGAAGGCATTTTGTTGATCGTTGATCCCTCTGCCGCACTAACTCGCACCTCGTCCGGTAAAGATAATGTTCCGTCGGCTAAGTCCGAACAGACGCACGCCGTAACCATGGATCCATACCCAACATGACTTCTTGGCCGACTTGATCACCAATTTTAACTTCAGAATAATAATCAACAACAAATCGTCCAAAGTGATCTCGATCTTCGTCCATCCCACTGTCATATACGCGTTCTCTCCAATTTCGACGCACTCTTGCGTTTAACTGACGTCGACCACACGTCCTACCATACGAGAAAATGTAAGATGGAGGATCGACACTAAAGCACCAGGATCGAACAGAATCGTCAATTTCTCATTATTGATTTTTGTTTACCGCTTTTACTTTCTCAAACTGGTTTCTGAGGTCGTAATGTTCAATACCCGCGCGGTTACACTCGAGCGAGGTCGAGCGTCATCCTCTCGGGCGGTCGGGCGTAATCAGTCACTCTGTTCACACTTCCTATCTACGAGACCAATGTAAAATCTTATGTATATTATCAATTGAATCCATCCGATCAATAATCTTTTAATCTCTCCGTGATTCTTCACCAAAATCTATAAATGAAATGCCTAGAATGTTCGGCTCAAGCTAGTTTTCAACCTGGCAAGCGCTCAGTTGTACATATCCTGCATATGTAAAGAAGCGTTCCAGCATGCTTCGTAGGAACCTATAACTTTCGGACCAAATTTAAAAATTTAATTTTATGACACTTGCACTCCAGTGTATCTCCACGTAGGCTGCATACACAAAGAAAAATATGTCAGAGGGATGTTTTTTGCGAACAAGTTCGTGGCACATCGATCTCTTCCAGCACCCTCGATCATCCTGTTTGGTAGATCCCCATTGGTGCACGCCTTCGACGGTTCACTGCAATAGCGTCCTCAACCTTCACCAGTGCTCTTTTACCAGGTGCGATGATCCTTGTTCGGTTGTTCTTGGTCGGACGTAGTTGTAACACAAACACGACGAAAATCCACTACTTCTTCGGATCTAATCGACTCCGATTTGGATCCGCTGCTCTCGAATTTTCTGTGGATTGCTCACACTGCTCGAGTCGTCTTGAATGCCATTAGAATCGAAGATGCGATCGATCGCTGATGGAATTTTTTAAATACATTGACGCTTTCACCAGACTAATTTCCATTCGTTGAACTCGCACGAGAGTTTATTTTATCTCATCAATATTTATCAGTCAGAGTAAATTAAGTTGTTTTTCCAAATCGCAATTTTCCAGCGTAGAAATGAAGTGTTCCTTATGATCGCGACCACTGGCCATTGTAGCCAGTCTCTTCTTTAATCGCGATCTTGGCATGCTTGGCCGCGACATTAAGACGATGCAAGCACATCAATGAGGTTTGATTAGATTGCTTTTGTTCGAGATAGTATTGCCTAGACAGAGACACCCCTTTCACTACATAATTTACCATAAAACAATCCAGCAATCGTTTCCACTTGTGCCGTGTTGATCGGCTCGGTTGGTTGTACCAGTTTCGCTCGGGTCCCGTCATTTAATCGCCGAATGCCACACAATTTTATTCATCTGGCGCCTGATCGCGCAGGAACACCGCCTTGACTTTGCTGATCCAGCTTCTAGCCCGATCCCCATCTCTTCCTTAGCCACATAATTATTTCACCTCCATCATCACTGACACCCAAATGCGTTGGAAATTACCACCACCGATTTGCAACGTATCCGTGGTGGCAACCATCGCACGTCACCGCTCTTCTCGCCTCGAATCACCGGATTGGCATCTTTGGAATCCATAATATAAGATCAACTGAGATGCGAATGCACCAATTCCATCTTAACATCTGGGAAATGCGTTTTTCGGGCTCTTGCCGGCTTAATTCTTTGTCTTTGGTAGATCGTTTGATACGTTCGTCCCCGTTAATTTGGTAAAAAGGTTCTATGGCCTCATCGAGGTACGTGCGCAGGATTTCATATTTGGTTGACGTCATTTCCTTTAGCGAATGTGATCATCGATAGCGATTCGATCTTAATCGTCTCAACTCGATCGCGTAAATGTGCTGCCACACTCGGACCTAAAGGCTATTACTGAATACCGACCGAAACATTTAACTCCATTTTAAAGTCAGCCGAGGCGTACTGCGACGAACCGGTATGATATCCTCGTGGAACGTCGGCGATCGATAGGGCAGCTCGATCTGTGTATTCGTACTTACCCTTCAGAAAATCAACGTGTTATATAACGATCGTCGATTGTGGATAGCCTGATATTCATCGCAATACAGTATTTTGCTCGCGTCGAACACATGTGCGGCGTATTTAGTGTGGTGAAGTCGATCTCACAAAATTGCTTGTATGAGTGTCGATCTTCCACTTGCCCAGACTTGCCGACTCACGGAGGGGGTACTCCGATCCGTGCCTTGTCGTATGACCTTGTGCTCACCTTGTGTACCCGTCGGTTGGGCTGGCTTGAGCTCTTCGTAACGGCCTTGGGAGATGTCGATCTCGCAGAGAGGTTGGGTTGAGGGTTCGCTTCCGGTGCGGAAATCTTCACACCACGAACGGGGGTTCTGCGATCCCTATCTTGGATCGCACCGATCTTGATTTGTCTTCGAGATCGGGGTCTTTGCTGTGCGGAAATCTTCACTCAGCAAATAAAAGTCCTGCGTCGATCTTGCCTTGGGATCGGTCCGATCTGGTCTTGGGATCGGCCGATCTTGCCGGAAGTGCGCAATTTGGGTAGATCGGTGTCTTGTTTCGCCAAAATGAAACGTGCCGATCTGTCCAGGGGATCGCTTCGATCCTGCTCGGTCTTGTCTTGAACGCCTTGTCCAGATCTTCTGACCACTTGAGCCGTCTCGCGATCCTGTGTCCAAAATCCTTTTCCTGTTCCGTTGTGTGCTGCTACCCTAGCAGTTGAGTTGAGTGTGAGTACTTGATCGATCCGGGCCAGATATCCCGGGATCGCTCTTCTCGATCTTGGCCAACAATCCAAGATCGGTCTTCTGTGTCCCTGTAACACGCGTGCCTTAACCCGCCGGGGAAGCCAAATCAATCTTGCCTGGAGAAGAGGGGAGGATAACGTGCGTCGTGAGCAGAAGAAGTAGAGTTCAAGTCTGTTTATTAACCAACCAAATTACTATCCAACCTACCCTTAAGCCTATTCTTAACTATAGGTCACTCTTCAAACCGATATCGCCTTGAATCTGGATCGCCCCCTTGCCACGTGTCGAAATTTCGTGCCCTGTACTCCAATGATAGCGCCAATATTCCCGATACCGTACCTGAACGCCAAAAGAGGACCAAATCCCAAATGGGATACCAAATACCCATTTTTGGTACCCAAAAGCCCAAAATAGTGCCCAAATGCCGAAGGCGTCTAAATCCATTTTGCGACGTCAACTTAACCGGCTTCCACTGGCTCTTTCGATCTGAACTTTTGAGACATCGCTCATGGACCTTCAACAAGCATGTTTGTCATGATCCAAAATTCTCATCAACGATACATCCATAATCAGTGGGGATCATGACCGATCTGATGCCCAATTCGAGATTGTTGAGGATCGACACAGTACAATCCGGCCATATATGTTCTTCCGTTCATTGTGTGCACTCCGATGCTTTATCAAAATGATTCTGCTCCAACATCCACATCCTTGCCTCTGATCAGCCTTTAGAGTGGTCGTTCGGTTCAATCCAGTCCCTCGTCCCAGATCGCACCGTTGGAATCACCCCTTTCTACGCCCCGTCTCAAATCACGTTGCATCGCCTGGTCCTAGGCGTACCTCTTCCGCCAGTGGGTGACATCTTAACTGGGTGGACACCGATCCACGTCCCATCATTTGATTAGTGACTTTACCACAGTTACACCTTCGTCGCAGAGTCATATCCCATCACCCGGTCCCAGATCCTTGTCCCAGATTGTTCCATGTAAATCGTTCCAGATCGCTCCGTCCCAGGTCGATCCACACCTATTAGTCTAACGACAATTGGATCGGTTCGCCGATCCCGTTAAGATCATCTTCCACCTCCGTATTGGATCGCCGAGTCTCATGGCCTCCTTTTCCACCAGTAAGCGGCGCTTTAAAGATGTGGCCACCGATCCTCGTACAAAATTTGAGTAGTGACTTTGCTACAACCGCCCCCTGTACTGAAGTTTTTTTGTACAGCAATTGACCTCAGTACAGTCACTCATCAACTTCGTTCCAAGCACTCAAGTCCGTCTCATGGTCTCTTCGACGCATCCACCCACCTCGCCGATCTCTTCAGAAGGACCCATTATGTTTCTGTCTCCGGATCGCGACCTGTCGCCCGGATCGCCCGATCTCGGAGGACACACCCCAGCGGTCCCCGATCGGCCTGGGTCTCCGCGCCATCTAGATCATCCCGGATCGCAGATCCCTCGTCTGCAGGACAAGTTCAAACCTGCTCCATCGTCTTAGTCCAAGGTCGATATCCAAGCCCGATCGTCTTTCATAATCGTGTAAGTCATTCAATCATCTTCTTCTTTGGTACTTCCATTCTTTGCAACTTCCACGATCTCGATCCTCCTCGCTCCACATCATTCAGGAAGGTAATTCACTTGACTATCTCCATACTCACATACAAAAACCTCATCCACCAGCATGTGCTACCGTCTAGCACATCTTTCAACCCCTACATCCGCATATGCTACCTCCCGCATACTTATTCGAACTGTTAAGGTTCGTCCGACTTGCCTTCATGAGACTGCATTACGTCGAAACGGTTTCGACTCACTCGGTTCCGCTCAAACTCTTGCAAGATCGCCCCACAACGTAGATCGGCCTCGTCCACCCAACTTAGATCGGGATATCCCTTCCACTTCACCAGAAACTGCCGGTGTACTCGCCCATAACGGGTTTTTCTACCAGATCGCACGTCCAATATTGCCTCTACTTCGTATTCCCCTTCTTCAAGATCGCCATCCCAACTGTCTTCTGGCAGCAGAGCTTCATCGAAATCCAAGCGATCTGATTCCTCTATCGTAAGCTGATCCTTCGGGCGTTCAGGGAACGTCTTTACCTTTTTTAGCTTCGATATATGTACAATCGGAAATAACCGATATGGGGTTCCAGCGATCTCCAATTTTACAGCATGATCTCCACATACGTCCGCAACTCGGAATGGCCCATGCCACATGTGCGCTAGCTTCTTCGCATATTCCTCTTTAACTCGGTCCAGGTATAGCCAAACTTGCGCTCCTACTTCGATCTCGTGTGGTTCCAGATCTTCGTTGTGTCGATCTGCTCGCTCCTGGATCGCGGCTTGTAAACGATCGTTCACTGCAGATCGGGCTCGCTGGTATTGTCTTTGGGTTTTGTATCTCCACCTCTTTGGATCGCGATCTCGTGTCCCCGTATTCCCCACTGGTAGCGTAGCCTCCAAAGTCGATCGCGGGTCCCACCCATGAATCAGATAAAACGGGGTATCCCCCCGGATCCGATCTTGTGCAGTGTTAATGGCAAATGTGAGACGCTCAGCATACTCATCCCAGTCTCGCTGGTCAACTTCAGCCACGTACATCTTGAGCGAATCTGTCAGGGTGTGCACCATCCGTTCGGCTGTTCCATTTGCTTGTGGTCTGTAGGCCATGGTAGCACGCTGTTTTTGTCCTACGATCCGACTGAAGGCTCGAAAGAAGTCGGACATAAATCCCGGTTCTCGATCGTGCCTGATAGCCTCGCTAGCTCCGAAGCGTCGAAACACACATTCTTCGTAATTCTCCGCTATTGTTTGTGCCGTCCGAGAGGAGCTAGCCTTTGCAATCACATATCCCGAGAAAAGGTCGACCCAAATGAGCAGTTCGGTGTTCCCCTTGATGGACTTGGGCAACGACGGTATATGATCCATGGCGATGATCTGGAATGGATAGGTTGCGTGTAGATTGCCCGGGGATTTCCCATTAATCATCGGGTTTCCTTTCCCGGTCTCACAGTCGGTACATTCGCCCACATATTGTTGAACGCTCCGATACAGTCCTCTCCAATGAAATCGCGATCTGATCCTCTGATAGGTTCGGCCAATACCCTGATGGCCCCCTTCCAGACTCGTGTGATAGTGATGCAAAAAATCCTGCTGCAACGTCTCAGGGATCACCAACCGCATCAAACCATCGCGATCTTCCGACTCTCTTTTCGCCATGGGGCAAAAAAATAGCAGTTTGTTCTCATCGATCTCGTATTCCGGCGCCAGTTTGGCGCACATCTTCACTTCTACCGCATACAAGTTTGATACATCGCCACTTAGATATGTCTTGAGATTGACAATCCAACGCTCTTCATCTTGAGCTTGGACAATTCGTTGAATCCTGATCCTCTGTACTATCTCCTCCTGTATCACTTCAGGTTCATGACGTATCCTCCTGGCTGATCTCGTGATCGCAGTTACCCGAGCCAGCTGACCATCTTGCTTGGGCTTCAACAATTCATCGAGACGGTTCAGAGTCATCAGATCTTGCCGATCCTCTTCAGCTACAACCGTTCTTTCCTTTTCGCTCTGCAATGCTGTGCTGGCTAGTCGATCTGCGCTCTGATTCCACTCTCGCTTCACATGCAGAAACTCGTGACTAGGCCATGACCGCAGCTTCTCCAACGCTTTGTGTCTCAGAAGCTGAAGGCCCGGTGCCTTGCAGTCGATCTCACCGCGCATCTGTCGAATCACCAGACTGGAATCTCCACACAGTATTACTCGCCCCCTATCCAGATCGGCGAGTAACTCAAAGCACAGTAGCAAGCCATTATAATCAGCTTCATTCACAGTCAGATCGTGAACATATCTCGATTCGGCCGCCACGATCGTCCATTCGGGTAACTTCCATATCACGGCACTGAACGACCCTCCTTTCTTTTTTATCCTAGCCGATCCATCGAAACTGGCCACCAGCAACTCCTCATCTGTTTCCACCGTTGGAGGAGGCATCGATATTTTGAGTCGACAGTCTTTTCGTGGGGAGATCGCAATCAGCATCTCTTCCACTTCTCCTCTCGGAGTGATACTCGCTGCTAACATGCCCAGGATCTCTTCCTCTCCTCTTTCACATTTCTTCACCTCCATGGTTCAATTTGACAACAAAGCAGCCCACCGTCCTAATCTCCCGTTGAGCCCGCGAGACTGCATCAACCAGGCTAACGTAGAATGTCGGGTCAGTACAGTGATCTCCCGCGAGGCAAGCGTAGTATAGCATACATCCAACACACGAAGTAGCGCCCGCACTTCTTTTTCTACCATTCCGTAGTTAAGCTCGTTAGGCTTTAAAGTGCGGCTAGTAAACGTCACCGGATGGAACACGTCATCGTACTCCTGTATCAGGGCCGCTGAGACAGCCCACTTGCTAGCGTAGACCACGATTACGGGGGACCGATCTGGGTCGAAATGCTTGAGCATGGGAGCTGTAGCTATCTTAGCTTTTAGCATAGTGAAAGCAACCTTGGCTTCCGTCCATCGACCCTCGTTGGAGCATTCGTCTCCTGCTGCAAGCTGAGATCGGCCGATCTCGAAGAAATCCGATTCTCTTAACTCATACAACACCGCGGCATACACCGCGAAATCCTCAATGAAGCGACGGTAGTAGTTCAAGCTCCCGAGAAAGGATTGCATAGCTCGTAGCGTGCTAGGAAACGGGATGTTAACCAACGACTCTAGGTTCTTGGGCTGAGCCTCCAGACCATCCATCGACACTCGATGTCCCAAATAATCGACCTTACGGCACCCCCAAAAGCTCTTCGTGAGGCTGATAGACATATTCCACCTATCACATGCCTCCAGCAACCGTTCTACTTTTGTGTACAAAGATCTCCATGACGTGGCTGGTATGAGAATATCGTCAATGTAAGATCGGCGTCCCAGTATAGACGGTCGTCGATCTGTCTCAGGTTCTCCATCTTTGAACACGTCGATCGGGCCATCAGAAGCTGATCTCTGGCCGATCTTGAGATATCCATACAACGCATTGTCCACCAGACGTTAGTAGATCAAGGGCGCGTTCTTAAGCCCAAAAGGCATTCGCAGCCACTCGAACAAACCAAACGGTGTGACAAACGCTGAGATCAGTTTTGCTCGTTCGGTCATTTCGACGACCCAAAATCCACTAGCCATGTCTAGCGAACAGTACCATAGAGCTTTATCCAGATCTTCCAACAGATCGCTGATCAACGGCATGGGATAAACCATCAGACGCGTCAGCTGCTTAACTCTTCGATAATCAATGCAAAGGCGAATATCCACTCCGTTCTTCTTGATGATCACCACTATCGGAGACGCCCAAGGTGACGTGGATGGCTGAACGATTTTGGCTGCTAATAGTCCTTTGATGAGATCTGACAGCTTCTCCCGATAATTGGGTGCGACCGGACGCACTCTTTGCGCTATCGGTGCTGCCCCACCGACATCAATATCACAGATTGCGCCTCGTGCTGCTGGTGGTAGAGCATTACCTTTACCCATGAGGAGGTGACGGCTCTTCCAGATCAGCGATCTGAGCCGTTGTTGATCTGTGGTGAGAGGCACATCGGGATCACCGATCTGAATGTCCTCAATCGTAACTTCTTCCGTAGTCGCCGACATCTCTGGTAGCACGGCCATATGCTGCTTGATATCATCCGCAAACAAATCTCCGCTCTCGTGGTGATAAACTGGTATTTCTGCAATCTCGACGTCTTCAGTATTTAGCATTATTTCTTCTTTAGGCATCTTCGTCTCTTCCGGCTGGCCCAATTTCAACAGTCGGTCAGTCGGCTCAGCCTTCGGTAGAGACGATCTGTCACGTAGCCCTTCTTGACCGGTGTCGCGGTCTCCCTTCATTGCATGTTGGGTACCGATCTCATGACCGTTCTCCATCCGCGATAGTTCGGCTCCCCTGACCGTTACTTCCCTCGCAACTACAGCATCTGCCTTTTGCGAATCGTCATCGTTAGCTTGCGGCGTCACCGTGGAGATCGCCGGAGACAGGTTCTGTAACGCATCAGACGGACGTTTCAAGATGCGTTTGGGAGCGGCATACGTAGGACGATCTACCAATGGTCCGATCGGTTCTTTCGGGAGTTCGTTCACTCGATCCGTTGTAGCCTCTTATGCCAGAGTTTGCCATTCCTTGTACTTCCCCGACCCGACTGTCACCAAACCTTGGGTCCGCGGTACCATATCGCCTTCGACCCACATGCCTAATATAGTGTGGGTGGGCAGTATGATCTCCCGGTCGCCAATGTTGGTCATCTGCAGGTATTTCGTCTTACCCCACCCCGAGATCACAGTGGGGACCCAATCTAGTCCTCTAGCGACCCACAACTTCATCTTAGCCCCTCCGATCCCGGTCTTCACTTCTCTTGACTCTCCGACCGGGATCACCACATGTTGGTCCTTCGCCGTTACATGTTATATCTTCGATCCGTACGCGGGGCGACGTCCTGCGAGATGGATACGGATTTATTCTGGTAGACATAGCGCGCCATCAGCTAGATCGAGCCGCACTCCGGCAGACACCATAAAGTCCATGCCCAGAATCGCTTCTTGCCCTGCCAGATCACCTACCCATACATTGAAATAGTATACCGGAGATCCCTCGAGGGTCACTTAGATCTTGGTACGTCCTACCGTCATGTACGGAGTTTCTCCAATCCCGATACATTCTTGTCGTTGACTTTCGTCAATATTGCAACCGACCTCACGAGCAAAGGTGGTGTCAATGATCGACACTTCAGCACCAGAATCAAATAACAGAGTAGCTTTTACGTTGTTGATCTTGCCAACGGCTTTCGCTTGTTTGAACCACTTCCCGGGAGAATAATGTTTCCAGTATCCGCGAGATTCACCATAAGCGAGCTCGATCTCCATAACTGGTTCAGATCGTGAGTACTCATCGATCCGCTTCAGATGGGACACGGAAGCGACAAGTTTTAACTTCAAACGAGATATATTTGTTTCCACGTCAATATCCTGCTTACTCTCGCGATCTGTCTTCTTTTTTTCCACGTATGCAATAATGCAGAGCCCAGAACGCTCGGCTCGTACCAAATTCAAACCTGGCGAGCGTCCTAGTTTAACATCTTCTCGGCCTTCTCTGGTAGCATCCCCGCATGCTTATTCGGGACGTACCACTGACGGATCATGTTGTAGAACTCCTCCATGGGACACTTCCCCGGGTCGTGCATCTCACCGCAAGCACGACACACGAAAAAACAACTGTCAGAGGGGTGTCCTTTACGCCCACACTTCTGGCAAGTGAGCCGCTTCCAGCAACCGAGATCTCCATGCTTGGTCGATCCACAATGAGTACACGGCTTCAATGGCATATTTCGATCTTGATAGTCTTGACGAGTGTTCGGGTCGACCGATCTCGCGTTTGCTGCAACGTCATTGGGGGATGAACGGCGATCCGCAGTAGCAGCCACATGGATCGATCTCAATCGATCTTCCAAATCCGATCCGCAGGTGTCCGATCCTGACTCGCTGCAGACATCCTCGGTACGGACCATCCTTACCGCTCGTGCAGGCTTATACAGCGCTGGACCCTGAGTTCCCTTCTGCCTGAATTTGGACGATCCCATCATCACTTTCCCTTGACGCGATCTCCCTTGTTGATATCCGTGCAGTGTCTTTTGCATGGCCTCCGCGTCTTCTACATTCAGCAGTAGCAATTGATTGGACAGATCGGGGTCGTCCAAGGTGTCAATGAAATGATTGACATGTTCCTTGCGCGCAGCTGGCAATCCAGTCATCACCGGTATCTTCGCCTGCATTCCCATCACATTAAGCCGATACAGGTACTGTAAAGGATCTTCCTCCGATCGTTTCTTTGCATGGTAGTACTGCCTGCCAGCGGACATCCCGTGTCCCGCATACTCCACAAGAAAACTGTTCATCAATTCTTTCCAATTGAATCTCATCGATCTACTCAGCTGTCGGTACCAGTAGCGGGCTGGGCCCACCATGAGATCACCGAAGACCAGACATCTCTCCTCGTCCGGTGCTTGGTCCCGGATAAACGCTGATTTCACTTTGCCGATCCAGTTTCGTGCTTTGTCTTCTTCCCGATCCTTCCCTGAGAATTCTTTTAGCTCAGAAATCGCTGAGATTCTGATCCTCTGCGCGATGATTCCCCCTCCAGTAGTCGCACCGATCGCGGCTACATGAGGGCGCCGTGGTTCGGGCATCCATAGATCATCCAGGTCGTATTCCGCCGCCTCATGGATACGTTGGTAAATGTCCGACCCCACCGACTCCATCTCCACATCCGGCATGTCAAGGCTTTCGTGTGAAGGTTGGAGCAAAGTACGTCGATCTGGGTAGCGGTTTGGCTGTCGATTCATTCGCTGAGCTGTACGTTGATCCGCCTCGTACTTCTTCATGGCTGAATTGAAGTACCGACTTAGATCGCCCTCTTCTTGATCCTCCAGCCCAGTGCGGATACTGGCCGATCTCTGCAGCATGTTGCTCTTGGCTTGTCCCTTACAGGCGTCGATCTTGGCTTGTCCGATCTTGTCCTTTAAGAACCTTCCCCCGATGGTCCTAGAGACATCTGACGAATGCTGATGGATCCATCTGACTCGCTCTCGGAGTCATCCGAGGCGTAGCGGGGCGATCCCGCGGGGTGTTTACGGAGCGAGCCCGAGGGCGTCCCGATCTTGTCTTCAGGAGTATTCGCTTTGCCCACCAGCATTATCATGATCTCTACAAACTCATTCGCCGCGTCCTTCAACTGTTCCAAGCTGCAACTCAGCAGTTCATCTCCATCAAAAGCGTCAGGGCAGATACCCATGTCGTCCAACATCTGCAAAATCACATTGATCTCGTCGACTTTGTTGGTCCCGTGAAGTGGGACCGAGATCATCTTATCCAGAGGACCAATCACCTTGGGCCTTAATATCTTGAACACTGGGTCCGTCTTGAGCAGCGTCTTCAACTGGCCATAATAGTACTGCCATTTTGCACGCTCCCGCGCTTCACCCGTCGTCTCCTTCTCCATGGACGCGATCTTTATTGGGTTATATTCCGTCTTTGGCATAGCGATCTTATCTGGTGTTTCATCGTATTCCTCTTTGGCTCCGATCTTCGATTGCACGGTTCGGCCGATCTGGCGATCTTTGACATCTGATCCCATCGATCTCGTCGCGGATCGTTCTGATATGGTCGATCTCGCGATTGTGCTCTTCGGCTTGAGGTCGGGCGATCTATCGACTAAGATATAGGGTTTGGCTTTCGCCGATTTGGTTTTCACCATTGGATTTTCATCCAGCAGATCGCTCTTTGCAGAGCGATCTGCGGTGGCCCCCGAAGGGACCCTAGGAGGGAATTGAGGTTTATCTTCCAGATCGATCTCTCGATCTTCCTCTTTCATTTTCATTTCATCAGAGCCCCTCCCAAAACTCTGATGATCTGAGGATCTTGTGCTTCTGCGTGTCTGCGTCGAACCCTTTGTCGCTGACACTTCAATCCCAGGTTCTTGCTTAATCTTGAAATCTTCGCCAGTGGACTCACGGTGAAATCCAGAGGCCTCAGAAGATCCGGGCACGCGCACCATTGTGGTGAAGTCGATCTCACAAAATTGCTTGTATGAGTGTCGATCTTCCACTTGCCCAGACTTGCCGACTCACGGAGGGGGTACTCCGATCCGTGCCTTGTCGTATGACCTTGTGCTCACCTTGTGTACCCGTCGGTTGGGCTGGCTTGAGCTCTTCGTAACGGCCTTGGGAGATGTCGATCTCGCAGAGAGGTTGGGTTGAGGGTTCGCTTCCGGTGCGGAAATCTTCACACCACGAACGGGGGTTCTGCGATCCCTATCTTGGATCGCACCGATCTTGATTTGTCTTCGAGATCGGGGTCTTTGCTGTGCGGAAATCTTCACTCAGCAAATAAAAGTCCTGCGTCGATCTTGCCTTGGGATCGGTCCGATCTGGTCTTGGGATCGGCCGATCTTGCCGGAAGTGCGCAATTTGGGTAGATCGGTGTCTTGTTTCGCCAAAATGAAACGTGCCGATCTGTCCAGGGGATCGCTTCGATCCTGCTCGGTCTTGTCTTGAACGCCTTGTCCAGATCTTCTGACCACTTGAGCCGTCTCGCGATCCTGTGTCCAAAATCCTTTTCCTGTTCCGTTGTGTGCTGCTACCCTAGCAGTTGAGTTGAGTGTGAGTACTTGATCGATCCGGGCCAGATATCCCGGGATCGCTCTTCTCGATCTTGGCCAACAATCCAAGATCGGTCTTCTGTGTCCCTGTAACACGCGTGCCTTAACCCGCCGGGGAAGCCAAATCAATCTTGCCTGGAGAAGAGGGGAGGATAACGTGCGTCGTGAGCAGAAGAAGTAGAGTTCAAGTCTGTTTATTAACCAACCAAATTACTATCCAACCTACCCTTAAGCCTATTCTTAACTATAGGTCACTCTTCAAACCGATATCGCCTTGAATCTGGATCGCCCCCTTGCCACGTGTCGAAATTTCGTGCCCTGTACTCCAATGATAGCGCCAATATTCCCGATACCGTACCTGAACGCCAAAAGAGGACCAAATCCCAAATGGGATACCAAATACCCATTTTTGGTACCCAAAAGCCCAAAATAGTGCCCAAATGCCGAAGGCGTCTAAATCCATTTTGCGACGTCAACTTAACCGGCTTCCACTGGCTCTTTCGATCTGAACTTTTGAGACATCGCTCATGGACCTTCAACAAGCATGTTTGTCATGATCGATACATCCATAATCAGTGGGGATCATGACCGATCTGATGCCCGATTCGAGATTGTTGAGGATCGACACAGTACAATCCGGCCATATATGTTCTTCCGTTCATTGTGTGCACTCCGATGCTTTATCAAAATGATTCTGCTCCAACATCCACATCCTTGCCTCTGATCAGCCTTTAGAGTGGTCGTTCGGTTCAATCCAGTCCCTCGTCCCAGATCGCACCGTTGGAATCACCCCTTTCTACGCCCCGTCTCAAATCACGTTGCATCGCCTGGTCCTAGGCGTACCTCTTCCGCCAGTGGGTGACATCTTAACTGGGTGGACACCGATCCACGTCCCATCATTTGATTAGTGACTTTACCACAGTTACACCTTCGTCGCAGAGTCATATCCCATCACCCGGTCCCAGATCCTTGTCCCAGATTGTTCCATGTAAATCGTTCCAGATCGCTCCGTCCCAGGTCGATCCACACCCATTAGTCTAACGACAGTTGGATCGGTTCGCCGATCCCGTTAAGATCATCTTCCACCTCCGTATTGGATCGCCGAGTCTCATGGCCTCCTTTTCCACCAGTAAGCGGCGCTTTAAAGATGTGGCCACCGATCCTCGTACAAAATTTTGGTAGTGACTTTGCCACATTAGCGTCACGCAGTAGCTGAAGGATCGCTTTTGTCCCGTCCAGCGGGTAAGTTGATCACTTTGGTGGGGACATTGGACCTCAGATTTCTCCTATCAGCTTGGAGTTCAATATTTAGACCACCGGATTGGCTGTCTGTATCGGTACTTTTGACCTAAGGGAATCATTTCCTTTCGATCGGAATCTTCTCCGAGCTTACAAAAATTATGTTTAATTGAGCCACAATCAAAACCTGGATAGTAGACGCTAGACGTCCACTATGCCACTTTTGTGAGATGATTTCATCTACCCGGCGAGAGCCTCATACATTTCCCAAGGAGTCACCTGCTGTAAAGAATCAACACTGATGAAAGCTTCCGAGTGCATTTCTTCATTAGAATTCATTGCAGCTCGAACTTTTGTCAGGTCTGTTGTGTCGCAGCTGTGTGTATCTGACAGGCTTGGAGCGGTAGAAGGCAGTCCTCTTGACCCACAAATCAGGGCGCGCCCGTGATCGACAGCGAAACGACTCCGCTTGATGCGTCTTGCACTTCTTCGTTTGCTGCCTCAGGCTGGTGCATGATGCCGATGTACAGTGAGATGGAGGGACTGACTGACGTAGCTCGTCTACCTCCCTCTTACACTTGTATCCGTGTTACCCAAATTTAGGCTTTTCCTCCGCCGTCGAGATTGGAGGATGACCCCTACCCGTCCCCATCGATATATGGCGCAGTGAAGGCGTGGTACCAATCATGCGTGATGTGCTGGCTTTTACCTGTTCTAATTTGTTTGTACCCCCTAACTGAACACTGCAGAATAAATTATGTGCTACAAACCATGTGCGAACGACTGCATATACAGTCCTCCCTTGATAACGATTTCCAAATACCTTATGCCTTCCGCAATTTTACAGGAAATGACTTTCGCCTTGGTCGTGTGGCGAATTTGATCTCGCAAAATTGCTGATGTGAGGCAAAACCTTTAGCTGCCCAGACTTACCAACCTACGGAGAAGTTAATCAGAGCCGTGGCTAAATTTATAGCCTTATGCACCCTTTCCTTGGGCTGTTTCAAGCTTTCGTAATGGCTTTAGGAGACATAGACCCTCACTTGAGATTCGGAATCGAGGTTCAACTTTAACATGTTAATTGTTACACATACCCGGTATATAATGTGTTACGGGGAGGTCGTAGTCGGTACATAAGTATTAAAGACCTGGCACCCGGGTGTGACACACTAAGCGTATCCACTCTTGTGTAAGTGATGTACACGGTTAAATTTATTTTAACAAAAATGACGCCCATTTGAGACAGTTTCATCGTGATGTTGTCGTAGGTCGTCATCAGTGAGTTTGAACTCGCCTCATAGGGGGATGCGCATCAAAATGATGACATCCAATCTTTAAAATATAATTATCAATCCTGTGTGTAATTCGTATTAAATATTCTAAGATAATCATAATCAGTCTTTCACTTTCTATAGATCACAATCTGCGCTTGGAAGTCTATTCACAGCTTTCGCGACGCAGATAGGTGTCTAAATAATATTCTTCGCGCGGTACTCATTAGGCGACCGGTTGTTGTGTGCGGCGCCAAAGACGTCGTCCACATACCACAGCTCGCAAGGTAAGACAAGTAAATCCGCTACTCATTTCTTTGAGGGTGTGCGCGCATTTAAAGTGGCGCCCTTCTACATAATCTCTGTTTAGATCCATCTGTCGAGGAAATCTTGCGTCGGTCTTTATGTGGGATCGATCCTATCTTGTCTTGGGATCGGTCGGTATTGCTTGAAGTGCGCAATACAGGTCAGATTGATTGGCGTTCCGTCTTATAGAACGCTTCGATCCGCTTTGTAGATCGCGGAGTTCTTGCTCAGTTTAGTTCGGAAACACATTGTTTTATTTTTTGACCACTTAAGCCGTCTCGCGATCTTGATATCGAATGTCCAACGAGTTGTTTGCTGATTCCAAATGCAGATGATCTTAAGTAACTGGAGTGCTAACCCCGGCCAAAAAATCCGGGGACTAGGGTCTTTTCTTCCCTAAACACGCGTAAATGTGATCGTCAGGAGGCCAAATAAATCCAGTCCGGAGTCGATAAACACGTGGCGCTTGTGGAAGAAGGAAAATATAGAACTGTAATTATCCATCCAACCAGTGCCCGACCTCTGAATATGCATTTCCTATCCTGCCGAACAATTTTTTAAAAGGTATCGAATTCAATTCAGATCGCCTCCCGTGAATACGTGTCGAAATTCAAAATAACTCACAATTCAATTATGCATCAACATCATCAGGATCTTGACTCAAAAGACCAAAGATGGTATCAAATACCAAACATGATGCCGAATGCCAAATATGATACCAAATACCAAATAGAGTAACAAATATTAAACATGGTAATAAATATTAAATACGGCATTAAACAATAAAAAGGTATCGAACACTAAGTATGGGACCGGCCAACTTCTCAACATCGACTTGAACACCCTCCCGTAACTTCTGTGATCATTTAAGATTTCCTTTGGGACCTTTTGTCGAGTACGTTTTCCGTTATCCGGCATCTCCGTGAACGCAGTGTTAATTTTGGTAGAGATTTGTGTCCAATCTGGTACTCAGAGCGACACCGATCTTTCTTGGCAAAAGCCAGAATCGTCCTTCTTACATTTAACCTCAGTTGACTTGACTTGTCCCAGATCGCTTTAAACTGCCTTGACCTGTCCCAGATCACCTTACACAAATCGTTCTTCCATCATTGATCGCACAATGCCCAATCTCTTCCCAACATTTTGCTCTCAGATAAAACGTTTCCAACAAGATAGGGGCACATAGACATCTCGGATTTGTTTACTCCGGATCGCCCCTGTCGCACAGTACACAACCTTTTACTGTAATTATTTGGCCGCGTATTACTTTGAGTATGGTTCGAAGTAATGGTCCACGATCTACGTCCCTTTTTTGTGTCAAAATTTACTACGGTCGCTCACCCTAACTTATAGCAAAGAAGAAAGATATACCTATCTCGAAATATTTTTCTCACCAATAGTGGGGAGGAATCGTGTTAAAGTCAAGCCTCGAAGATAATTCGTGTGGTTTTGGCATTGCGAATGTTAGCCTGAAGGAAGCGGGGTAGCTTGTAGGTAGAACGATGGGATTCCTGAGATAGATCAAGTAAAGAACAGGCACTACGTAAAAAAGCGATCTTCTCGATCTAGATAATATGTCTGTAATTACATCATTATCAGCTGCAAATCCTTATTCTTAATCCTCCTCCTGAAATGCGTCTAGAATCTCTCGATCACAACAACATGTCTGATCACTCTCGTCTTCTTCGACAAAATTGAGAAGCTTCTCAATGGCCATCATATTGCGGATCGGCAGTTGTTTAAGCTTGGTTTCAGGGTCCTGCTCCAGAGATCTCGCATCATTCTCAGTCTCCTTCTGCCTCAACATGATATTTCCTTTCTTTTTTGACATGTAGACTGTGGAAGGCTTTGCGACAGCCTGACGTGGTCAAAAGGTTTTTTGATCGCGCAGTCTAAAATCCCTGTTCAGGCAGAAGAGACTAGCGCGTGTTTGTAAGCTTATTCGTCTTTAAAAGTTGCTAATCTCGTTACGTTCGCGTGAACCATGAGCATGCTGAATTCATTGGCGCCCATAATGCCTCTTAGAAGCGAAAATTATGCAGGCTTTCACTGGTTAAACTTTCGAGGTCGCTATGCTTTTTAGCAGCCAAAGCGAGAAGTTGGTTGAAAGCAGATCTTCCACTATGTGAAATAGCGCATTGTATATTGAGAGCAGGACATTCCTGCCTTGATCCTAAAAAGTTTGTCGGATCTTTGCAAGATTAACAGGCGAATATCTAGGCACAAGGCTGCAAACACAGCTTCACTCCTTTGTCAGCAATGATAATTCATTTTTAAAAGGACTGCCCGGTCATTCATGCTTTCAAGTTGTTCCTTTGAAGATCTCCAACCTCTCTTCTCTGTTCTTGTTAAACACCGCTGTGTGATTTTAGCTCGGTCGATGAAGGACATCTGGAGATTATCAAACCCATCAAAATTCGCTGTGATGGCTACAATACTGTATGTCTGTGAGTAACTGGTGTCAAGAGTATTTCGCGGTTCAAGTGAAAAGACAAGTGGAGATCAAAAGTCCTAGTCATATTTGTGCCTTTCGCCTCTGCCTGATCGATCGTCTATTAGGTGTCATGACGTAGAAAATTCGGGTTAAAGCTGGGTCAGCAAGATTATTCTTTCGTAAACTAAGATAAAGTGTAAGAAGTGGGAAACATCAACATGGAAAAGGCCACTCACTGCTTGACTCTGATGCAGAATTCTCGATCATCGACACAACCTTTGCTTATAAGGTGGGAGGTGTGATTGACGAGAGCCGAACGCAAGAATGTGTTGAGATCGAGGAGAGTGTCTACACGACGTTTAGTCGGACCAAGATCGAAACAATACTGGACGAGTCACTAGTATATTTTATAGATGTCTGGTTTGTGATCAAGTCGGTCAAGAATCCATACTAGGCATGGACTTCATGGTTTTGGTACTTGCACGTCTGGATTTTGCCGACAGAAACCTGTGTCTACAAGACGTAGTTCGCATCTGTTTTGCTGTGCAGAGACCACCATATTGATCAAATATGTCGGTGATAAACCTTTACGAACAACATATTGTCAACTCTGCCCGTAGATCCTCTAAATTAATAATCGGCGTCAATCTTCCAACTTCTAAGCTTTGCGTGAGACGAGATGTGGCGTGGATTCCTACCGTGAGGAATGGGCCCGTAAAGATTAACTTCCCACAGATTACGGATATAAGCGATCGTGACTTGATCTATAATTACGGAGCCCCTTTAGCGTCGCAGATGACAGAAGATATGACATCGACTTCTCAAAGATGTGTAATTTATCGGATTGCGGCAATCTAGGGAATGACACGCATTGGCCTTCAAAACTACTACAGACCGAGAGGAAGAAGAGATTGAAGCATTTGCGGGCCTTCCAGTGAATCGTCTTACAAATGATAAATTCAACCTAATTTAACCCGAGCATTGGAAAAGTCAGAAGACGTTAAAGTTTCTGTAGAAATGACATTGCGATCCGAATTTGATTGTATTACTTGAGATGAGATTCAAGACGAGCATTCGGGTTGGAAAATTAACGAAGGCAAGGATGGTAGATCGACATAGAGATCTTGCGCGGTCAACGCAGTGCAAGAGACCCCAGGACGATTGAGTGAATTAAGCGGCTTCGGCAAGAGGGCCATAACACAGGAGGTAGGCCATGTGAAAACTGATCCTCTACAAGGACAGTACAACTCAGCCAGATGAGATCAAGGTGAAGATCGGGAAGTGTATGGCCGGTCCGCACGATTGATCGACAACGGGGAGGATGACGTAATTGACGAAGAAGTGAAAAAACGATATACTGGATAAATCAATATATAATACATGAAGGAGGCGAACTGTTCACGGGAGATGCGGAACAACACATGGCTGTGCTGCCGGCAGTAACGATGTCCACAACAGGGATAACGATAAAAGATGTCCAGTTTGTCGAATCTGGGATACCCTTATCAGAAGATCAAGAAGGTTTGCGGCAACCGAAATGGAGGAGTCGTTGCCTGTTGAATGGAAAAGGAAATGCATAACCCTCTGCAGCAAGCGGGGTCGCTCGTGATATTGATGCTGGAGAGGCAAGGCCGGTCGCGTAGCGCGTGCTACCAGTTGCGTCAAAATTTCGTGCGAAGTAATCTAACCTGATTGAATGCCAGTTGTCGGTTAGATTATTAGACCTTCGACATCACTTTGGGCGTCACCAATAGTCCTATTAAAAAGAAGGTATGGGGAAAATATCCCTATTTATTGACGATAAATGAGTGAATCAGCTTAAACGGTTAATTATTTATCCAATTTCGCTGATCAGCAAATTGCTGCAAGACATGAATAAGGCTGTGTGTTATTTTAGTGGATTTTGGGTGGTGGAGATGACCAAAGAGCAAAGTTGATCTCTGCGTTTATCACACCGTCGGGTCTGTTTGAATGGTTGCGGATGCCATGTTGACCGAAGAACTCCCTACAAATTTATCAGCTATTGATTGACAACGCTTTTTATCGATATCTTAAGATCGTCGCAGGTAAGGATTCCAGCGCGAAGGATTCCCTTTGATGGACCGATGTGCTAACCGAAGGAAAAAAAAACCATCAGACGCCGCTAATACTGGACGGACAAATTAAATTGTTGTTACATTGATCCTAGCTCCTTCAGAGACTTCCTTGTACAGCAAGTTTTTATAGCAAGGTAGAGCGACTTCTGACGCTATCAGATCGATGATATTCGTCGATCAGCCTGACCAAGCGTTTGTTGGGGACGCCGTAAGGTGAATTGCCTGGGTCATCATGTATCATTGGCCGGGTTGGAAGCTAGTCCTAAGAATTTAGGATAGCTGGTCAGCATCCCCTTTCCCACAACGTTGCGTTCCATATAATTGTCCCTAAGTAGTCTGATTTACTACAGTCAGTCGCTTTACATCAGATTTTGCAGTATGCGAATCTGTGTTGTACGAGCTACGAGAGGCAAATTTTTTAAAGGTTCATCACGTGGAGGATTGTGATGCAATGGCAGGACGTCGCGACCGCAAGGAAATGATCTCGATCTTAATAAACGATCTCGTTGGGAAAAGGCCACTATCGCAAAACCCTTTAGAGGCCAAGATCTCTACTACCCCGATCCTCAAACCCTTCGACCCAGATCGGCTGCGGTGATCGTGTTACATGTTAGCAAGTATGCAGTGTCTGCAATTCGGCTGGAGGAATATGATGGCGCATACTGGCCGGTGAAAAATACAAGTCGTACGCTGAAGCCCAATGAAGTGAATTATGGCATTGTGGAGAAAGAGATTTTAGCCTTGCTTCGAATTTTGGACGTGTGCTATACTATGCTAGTATCCCAGGAGATCAGGGTGCTCACTTAAGATTCAACATTTGCCTGGATAGTTCAATCTTTGGCCTCAATAGGAGACTGGGAATTCGGGCCGCGCTACTATTAGATTAGACGCTGGAGGTTAGGAGATGTATATTAGGAGAAGATAAATTACTCGGCACACTCGCAGCTAGCATATCTTCTCGAGAAGAGATGAGATGGATGAGATGTGATCGCGATCGCTCCAACGAAGTAACCTAAACATATGTAACCACGCCACCCCTCACGGTGACAAAGGATGGGAGACTGTTCGTTATTAGTTTCGACGAATCGACGCGGACAAAACAAAGTAGTGGGTTGTACAGCGCGATCGCATGGAAACTCACAGAATGGACAATTATCGCGGCTGCTTCAGAATACGCAGCAGACAATGAATCTGGATGAAGCTGAATACCGTGGCTTGTTACTGAGTTTTGATCTTCTGGATGGCCAAATTAGGGGACGAGTCATTATATGTGTGAATCGAACTTAGTGATCCGACAGATGCGGATTGAAATGGATTGTTAAGCGCCCGGGTTGCAGTTGTTGTGCCACAAGGCGATGCAGAACTTCGCTTATGGCCGAAGAACGCTTTCTTACGTATAAAGAGGGAGTGGGATTGCTTCAGACTACGATGTTAAAGAAAAAAGATTGCTGTTTTCAGCCCCGGATCTCTAAGAAGTCGAAAGATCGCATAGAGATAGTCCGTCTGGTTCTACCAGAACTGTCACAACAGGACTTTATGTGCCGTTACCATACGAGCTTAGAAGGTTGTCACCAAGGAATAGGGAGGAGAAATCAACAGATCAGGCCTAATTTCAATCATAGAGGTCATTTTTAAAGTGTACAACGTTACGTTGGCGAATGCGTGTGCTGAACGACTGGGAAGGGTTCCTCGCGATCCGTTACCGATCCCCCATGTATAAAAGGCTGTGTACCTACAGTTGATCGCAATGGATCATATCCCGTCTCTGGCACGAGTAAAAATTTGTGGCACGGACCGTCTCGAGTGGCTGAATTATATCGTGAACGTGCAGTCCGTTTGGAGATTACAGGAACTCCAACAGGAACTCCATACCAACTACTTCCAGTAGTACATGTTAAAATTTAAAACAAGTGGTACATCTCTCGATCGCCCAGGCAATGCGCTAGTGGTCAACTGTGAGGATCGCGTGATATTTGGTGAGACCTTGTTGCCTGAAAGACAGTTTAGAAAACGAGTTGGCTACTGATAAATGAGAAGTAGAGAAAATCTTGGACGTGTAATCGGTACGTAAGAATCGTTATGATCTGCAGCTTCAACCGTTTTTGGTGCGGTGAAAGCTACGTGTTGATCCGACCTGGATACATGAATAAGATCTGAAGTGTGGCGCGTTGCTGCAATATTTCGAGTGCAATCGTGCAGGTCAAAACCGGTTCGAGGTGATGTAGTCTCATGAAGTGGAAGCGGAAGGATAACGAATAGTCGAAGCGAATGGTGGTT